GGCTAAATTTCAGCCGTTCCTCCCTCTAAAATACCCATAGTTTCTAGTTTCATGCCTAGGAGTTTAGCTTTACTAGCATGGCTGATCCCACTTTTCACATTTCTTTCTGTATAAATTCACATGTTTACATGCTTTGGCAATATAGATAGTTCTCACCTCAGAACCATTCATTTAGTGCAGGGGTGGGTGCTACTTATCTTTACTACCAGTTTACAACGGGACCGTGTGCACTTCTGCGCATGCGCAGATCACCCATGATGATGTCGTGGCAGGTGGGCGGAGCCTCCCGCCAGTTTTACTACCAGTTCTATAGAACCGGACCGAACCGGGAGCAGCCCACCACTGATTTAGTGTCTGTTCAAAGTTGTAATGGTACTGAAAAAAGTGACTTATGACTCTTTTTCATAGTTACAACCATTGCAGCATTCCTATGGTCATGTGATCAAAATTCTGACCCTTGGCAACTGACTCATATTTACTGTATTTTTCGAAGTAGAAGACACACCTTTCCCCCCCCCCTAAAAGTGGGGGACCGAATACAGGCGTTTTTGGCCTCTCGAACCCTCTGCGCATCATGTTTTTGCCGTTCCCGGCCCCCAGAAGCACTCTGCAGGCCAAACACGGGCGCGTTTTTGCCACTGGGGGCCTGGGAAGGCAAAAATACAACACATTGAGGCCAAAAACTATTTTTTTCTTTTCCTTCTGTAAATTTAGGTGCGTCTTATAGTCTGAAAAATACGATATGTCAGTTTCAGAGTCCTGGGGTCATGTAAGTTTTTCCTGGTGAGCTTAAGGCAGAAGGTTTCTGGCGAGCTTAAGGCAAACAAACTCAATAGGAAAGCCAGATTCACTTAACAGCCATGTTACTAATTTAACAACTGTAGGGATTCAGTTAACAACTGTGTCAGGACAGGTCACAAAATGGGACAAAACTCACTTAACTGTCTCACTTAACAGAAATTTTAACTGTCTCTTAACTCTAATATAACAACAGAAATTTTTGGACTCAATTGTGGTCGTAAGTCGAGGACTACCTAATGTCTGGTCATAATTCCATTAAATTTGTGTATTGTTCAGTAGGCTTCGTGCCTGCTATATCTGGGTTAAGATAAAGCAATTTTCTCTTAACCCAGATATTGTAGGCATGAAACCTACTGAACAGTACACAAATTTAAACAAGAGGGGACAAAGAGACAGCAGCAGTCTTTATGTTAATATCAGCAAAATCATACTTGAAGCCAGTTTCATATTTGTTAGCCCATAGACTTAATACAGTCTTCGTTGTTTAGCAGGACTTCCAAAGCAAATAAATGGGAAAAGGAAAAGGACTTTTCTTGCTACTTTTAAAAAATTATACATGTGTAGAGTGGATCTCGAGAGAGATATAAAAGACTTTCATGACGATAGGAACTTTTGTTCTACTAATCCTTTTGCGAAAACTGCCACCATCAGCCACATGCAGAAACTTAAAAGTCTACATAGCTTTATTACAGGTAGTCCTTGACTTACAACAGTTCATTTAGTGACCGTTCAAAGTTACAACGGCACTGAAAAAAAGTGACTTGTGACCATTTTTCACAGTTACAACCTTTGCAGCATCCCCATGAGCATGTGATCAAGATTCAGATGTTCGGCAACTGGTTCGTATTGACAGTAGCGGTGTCCCAGGGTCATGTGATCACCTTTTGCGATCTTCTGACAAGCAAAGTTAATGGGGAAGCCAGATTCACTTAACAACCAGGTTGCAAACTTATCAATTGCAGTGATTCACTTAAAAGAGCCTTGGTGGCGCAGCAGACTAAAGTGCTGTTAAGTAACACCAGCTGCCTGCAATTACTGAAAGTTCAAATCTCACCAGGCTCAAGGTTGACTCAGCCTTCCATCCTTTCGAGGTAGGTAAAATGAGGACCCGATTTGTGGGGGCAATAAGGTGACTTTGAATAAAAAAGAACACCGCTTTGGGGGGTGGCGAAAGCCCTACTAAGCAGGTATATACAAAAGTATGAAGGCTATTGCTTAATGCATTGTAAGCCGCCCTGAGTCTCCGGAGAAGGACGGCATATAAATCAAACTAACCAACCAACCAACCAACCAACCAACCAACCAACCAACCAACCATAAATAAATAAATAAATAAATAAATAAATAAATAAATAAATAGTTAGTGGTAAAATGGGGAAAAACTCGCTTAACAAATGCCTCGCTTAACAACAGAAATTTTGGCTCAGTTGTGATCATAAATCAAGGATTACCTGTATTTAGAAAAGATCCCAAGACAGCAAGTTAAACACTCTAATTATTATAATGTATACTTTGAAGATGCTTTTATACAGTTACTTCTTTTCAAGCAGATTTACTAAATCAGACCAATGTTTTAATAGTGAAAATATAGAATTTCCAAAGTGACTTAACCTGTATGCAAACTTAGAACTAAATCCAAGAAAAACTTGTCCTTTCCCAAAATGTAAACTTATTTTTTCCCTAAATTGCTTCAGTTCTCCCTTTTTCTAAATCAGTAGATCTTGCCAGTTTTATGTATACGATACACATAGTATTTTCTTGCTTTAAGGCTTGTTAACTTTCATATTTGCTGAATTGAAATTTTCATCAGATAAATGATGGCTATTAAATGCAATCTGTAAAATAATTCTGGCTGCACTAATGTTGGCAGAACCAAAATTTGAGGTGGAATAAATGAACAGGAAGGCCCTCAAATATTATAGGCTTGGTTTGGCTTTCCTTATTTTAAAGAAAGTGTAATAGGAACACATGGACCATTATATTCATAATCTAAATTCTAAACTTTGTTTTATACACTGTAAAAATGAATTTTCTGGATTTTGAAGAAATGCCACCATATTTATTATCAAAAACAATCAGAATATTTTCACATGAGCATGTCTTAGCATTAACTGTAAGCTCAGCATTCGGGGTTGTTAGTGCAAGTAGAAAGGCACCAACTTTAAATGAGATATTTATAAATTGCAGTTAATGATACAGCTATCTGAAACATAGTTCACAGATGGATGACCTGCAAAGTATGGATTAGGGCAGGGGTCTTCAAACTTTTTAAACAGGGCCAATTCATGGTCCCTTAGATTGTTGGGGGGCTGGATCGGCTGGGTGGGTGTGGGTAGGTGGGCGTGGGTAGGTCATGTGACCAGGTGAGTGTGGCCAATTTAACAGTCCATTGAACAATGCACACAAATTAAACTTTAATTTGTTTTGCTCCTGGGGGTGTTTTATTTGCATTTGTTTGCATGCTGCTCTTTTGGTTGCCTTTTCTTTTTACTAGATCGTTTTTTTCAGTTGTTTAGGAGTCTAGTGGTCCACTTCAGGAAACTCAGTTTTGCAGCAATTCTTCTCAGCCCCAAGCAGCTTGAGAAATCTCTCTCTGTCTTTCTCTTCTTTCACTTTCTTTCTTTCTCTCTCGCTCTCTCTTTCTCTCTCTCTCTTCCCCCTCTCTCTTTCCTTCTCTCTTTCTCCCTCTTTCTCTTTTCTCTCTCTCTCTCTTTCTCTCTCTCTTTTTCTCTCTTTCTCTCTTCCTCTCTTTCGTTTGTGTCTCCCTCCCTCTCCCTTTCTCTATCTATCTCTCTTTCTTTCTTTCTGTCTCTTTCTCCCTCCCTCCTTCTTTCTGTCTCTTTCCGTCTCTCTCTGTCTCTCTCTCTCTCTCTGTCTCTCATATCAGTGGTGGGTTCCTCCTGGTTCGGCCTGGTTCTCCTGAGCCAGTAGCGGTGACGATATGACGTCACCGAACCGGTTCTGCCCTCTGCGCCCCCCCAACCCCCGCGTTATTCTTACCTTTTATTTGGCCCCACTCCCAATCTATTGCTGCCTCCTGAGTCCCAGCTGATGGCTAGAGGGAAAAAAACTGTTTAAACTCTTGCCGCGGGGCTTCAAAGGGCCGCCCTACAGCTGATCAGTGTTAAAAGAAAACAAATGAGTAGAACAGTGCCTGCAAAAATAAATGGGTAAATAGATACAGCTCTGCAAGCTGTTAAAAGCCTGGTAGACCAGTACCTCTGCTAAATCCTAAATAATTGTCACATGACCATCCAGCCTTGCCCACAAAATAAGCCACGCCCACAGAACCGGTAGTAAAAAAAATTTAGAACCCACCCCTGATATCTATCTATCTATCTATCTATCTATCTATCTATCTATCTATCTATCTATCTTCTGGAGGAGGGGAGATGAAAATTGGGCCATTTTTGCCCATTTTTTGGCCTCCTGAGGCATCTGTGCATCCCATTTTTCACCCCCACACACACACCTCCAGAAGCATTCTGCAGGTTAAAACGAGGCAAAAACAGCTCGGTTTTTGCCCAAAAAGGGCCATTTTTGCCCATTTTTTGGCCTCCTTTCACCCCCCCCACCTCCTCCAGCAGCATTTTGCAGGCCAAAATGTTGGGCTTACCTTTCAGTTCCAGCCTGCAGGGCTCCCGAAGGCAAGTCCTGCACTCTGCTGAAGGGTGGACGGGGAGATGTGGGTGGGGCAACCCCATGGTCCTGCTTGGGCTAGATTAATGGCTTCAGTGGGCTGCATGCAGCCCATGGGCCGTATTTTGAGGACCTATGGATTACGGTGTCCTATGCACAGGTGAGATTCACATACTGTAGCAACCGGTTTGCCCAGCACCAGAAATGTGAGTGTGCGGCATCACAAAACACGGCAATTTGCTCAGGGGTGCCATTCACACATGCATGCGGTGTCAAAAACACAGCAATATAAAATGGGATTGTGCCCAGATGGGTGAGCGGGCCCACCTGCTGGTCGCCACTACCACTTTGCCCGAACTGGTCCAAACTGGTTGAATACCACCTCTGGTCCTATGAGATTTGTAGCAATGTGTGCAAAATTGAGAACAAACAGTGAAGGAGCAGTCTTTCTGCTAATAATTAAAAATAATTTTCTTTGTATTTATATAAAGGAACATTTTCATTGCATCCTTGTGCTTGTTTGGGGATTGTGCTAAACTAATATTTTTTTCTTCAAACAGTGATTCTTTGGAACCCACACAATTTACTACTTATACTGCTGCTGCTGTAAGAAGCATGCCTGAAAACCCAGAAAATGGTGCCAATAGGCCTATTTCAGCCGAGTCTGGAGCAGGATTCAAGCCCACAGGACCTCAATATGCTGAGAAAACCTCAGGCTGGGAGTCTTCTAAGCAACCAGGTAAATTATTGAAAGTTTTGGTTTGGTTGCTGATTTTGAAATCAAATGTTTTATATACAAATATTGATTATTATTATTATTTATTATATTTCTATACCGCCTTTCTCCCGTAGGATTCAAGGCGGTGTACAGTCAAGAAAAATATAGATACACAAACATCATAAAATTGCTAATTAAAATTATTACTTAGTTTGGTCAATTAAATAAAACCCAGAATTAGATAACATTTTAAAAAATCATTCACTTGTTCATATGTTTAGCCCGCCTGTTGGAACATCAGGGTCTTGAGGGCACGGCGGAAAGCACGGAGATCAGGGATATTTCGTATCTCAGGGGGCAGTTCATTCCAAAGGGTTGGAGCCCTCACAGAGAAGGCCCTCCCCCTGGGAGTCGCCAGTCGGCATAATTTGACCCTGAGTAGTCCCTCCCTGTGAGAACGAACTGGTCGGTGGGAGGCTATTGGTGGCAAAAGATGGTCTCGTAGGTACCCAGGTCCTAAGCCATGGAGCACTTTAAAGGTGATAACTAACACCTTGAATCGCACCCGGAAGACCACCAGGAGCCAGTGCAGCTCGCGTAGGAGAGGTGTTACATGGGCGTAACGAGCTGCGCCCATAATCACCCGCGCGGCTACATTCTGGACCAGTTGGAGCCTCCAGGTGCTTTTCAAGGGGAGCCCCATGTAGAGAGCATTACAGTAGTCCATTGATGATGATACCTGATAAAATTTGATATCGAGTCCAGATTTGTGCTTTACTTTGGATGAAAATTTTATTTTCAATTGCAATACAAAACTATAGAAAACAGAAAAGAATATCTTGGCCTCCGCACACCCTGTTTTCAGGCCTTTTTTGGCCTTTTTCAGGCCTTTTTTCAGCCTGTTTTTGAGGCTTTTTTTGGCCCGTTTTTGAGGTGCTTTTCCATTTTTTCTTAAAATAGCCCCAAAAATGGGCCAAAAAAAGACTGGAAAAGGGCCGAAAATGGGGCACACATTGTTTTCCTCTTCTAAATTTAGGTGCGTCTTATAGTCCAAAAATTTATGTGCGTCTTATAGTCCAAAAAATAAGGTAACGATTACACTTTTGCCACAAGCTACTAAGCCATTTGCAAATAAGGTAACCAGTCTGGCAGATAAAACAACCAATATTGTGTTTAAAAAAAGCTTGCTAGATTTTTTTAAAAGACGCTAATCATCACAATAGTCTTGCTGCCTTTGCTGTCACTTGTAGAGTACTATGTAGGAACAAGTCCTCTAAGTTTGATTTTTCAGCAGTATGGATATTCTCTCCTTTGGTATTTGTGAGGCTGCTGTTTCAAAATTTTAGACTTATAGAGACCTTCGCTCTGTGAATGTTAGGTATGAATTGATTTTTCTCCTCCCTGAAAGTTCCACCCTGAACTTTCATTCAGTACAGAGTACAGTGAAGGTTTTAAGCAACAGTAATTTCATGCTGTTGTGTTTTAATCTTTTTTTTTTCCCCATTCAATTGAGCTCCATGAACTTTACGGTGCTTCAACATAAGACAGCAGTCTAGAATTAAATTAAATAAATAAATAGGGCACCATTACACTAAAAATCAAGCTTGTAATTATTGCCCCCCCCCCTTATGATCATCTGTAGGTAGAACATACACTTATGCACATAGCAATTTGGTAATTCTAAAACGAGCATACTAGCAGTTTTCAGATCCTTCGTTTGTTTTTCCTTAGGCTGCAATAACACAGCAACAAAGCAAACTTATTAAAAGGTTGACTTCATTAACTCGGTAGGAAATTTCCAAGTGAAAATGTATTGGATTGTGCTGCTGAAATCTAATAAGGGAAAAAAACTATAGGCTGTTAAGCTAAGCAGGTGGTCCTTGACTTATAACCACAATTTGGACCAGAATTTCTATAGTAAACTGGTGCAGTCATAAAGCAAGTCATCACATAACTGGACCTGATTTTATGCCCAGTTTTACTACATTTGTTAAGTGAATCACTGTGGTTGTTAAATGATTAATACTGGAAAAGTTACAAATCGAAATTATGCTTACTTAGGATGCTCTAACCAGTCATAAATGTGAGGTGGTTGAGAAGTGCCCAAATTGTGATCATGTGACTGTGAGAGATAGTGCAAGGGTCGTAAGTGTGACAAAAGTCGTAAAACACTTTTTCCAGGACTGCTACAACTTTGAACCATTGTTAAACCAACAGTTGTAAGCTGAAGATTACCTTCAATAAATATATTTCAATCGAAATTTTCAATTCATTTGCATAGTAAAATCATAAATTAAATGTACTCAATTGATTTTTGAGATGCTAATGTTTGACTTTTGTTTTAAGTACTTTCAGCTATATATAAACTGAATATAATATACATGGTTCTTTAAACTTTCTAAATTTAGTTCAGAGCTTTATTTATTTTAGAGTAATATTTTCTTTTGGTCTGGAACAATTTATTATGTGGAATTCAGATTCCTCACAAAAATTGTCAGAATTTATGCAGATTAATTTTCCTGATGTGCTTCTCATCTAAGGCTTTACAGATGTTTTCACGCATGATTTTACATTTTCAAATGGAGTGATGGCAAAACCAGGGGTGGGTTCCACTTACCTTTACTACCGGTTCGCAGTGGGAGCATGCGCACTTCTGCACATGCGCAGATCACCCATGTTGATGTCATGGTGGGTGGGCGGAGCCTCCCGCCGGTTCTACTACAGGTTCTATAGAACCGGACCAAACCGGGAGCAACCCACCACTGGGCAAAACTAAGAAGGGAGCAATAAAGACAAGGAAAAACAGATTTCTTTAGAAATTTGACAACAACTTCATGTCTGTTTGGCTGTTCTATGTTTTCACACAAAGGACTTTTTGCAAATCATCAGGGATGGTTCTGTGGTTGCGCAATGTGGAGTCACTATCTGACCATTGTAGGAGGGTCTGCTGACTGTAAAACTGTCAGACTGTCGGCTTGTTTTGAACCTACACAGAAGAGGTATTTTCAGTATAAAAGACCTCTTTGCCATCACACATTTTGTAAGATAAGCACTATGTTTTTTGTTTTCTCCACTGTGATTTTTAAAAGATTTTCTACTCTGAGGTGAAAGATTAAACCAATGCCCCCATCCCTTCCCCTCAAAAATCCCCTTTGGTAGAGGGCAAAATTTGGCAGAGAACTGTTCGGAACTCTCTGTGCTTCATACTAAAAGAAGAAAGACCTTCTGAGTTACTTTTTAAAAATACTAATTTACTCTTTCAGAGTATTTTTAATCTGTTTAGTACTGTTCTAGTTGTAAAGAGAGTTGGTTAAGGTTTTGAACTAGCATAGGCAAAGCCCAAGTTCTAGTTTACCTCAGATATTAGGTATTAGGTATTATTTGGACCAGTCAATCTGTCAATACAACCTCACGGAGTGACTGTTATAGGGAAAAATGGAAGGTGGAATACTAAGTATGCCAAGTGCAGAAAAGAGAGGTTCTAAATCAATCAATTCGCCAATCAATCAAAAAAAATAAAGCAATTAGATTCAACCACACTTGTGAATGGATGCATTACTTTTTTTGAAAAATTACATATTGATAGGGGAAGGATTCATAATGATTTCTAGGTACCAAAATGTATGTTTAATGTGGTAGGTAGTTTTAATTGTGTGGCCTGGTTGACCTATGGCTATGTTTGACAATAATTGGGGGGGGGGGGGATTTGGAGGTGTGATACCTCAAAGTACCTTGAGGTGGCGATAAATCACTGCATTTGTACAATGGTTTTCTTTTTCTTTCTTTTTTCTCTTTCTAATGGGAAATGAAATGGGGGGGGTTAACTTTGAGAGAACAACTTATATTTTGAGTGCACGATGTTCTTTCATTTATGGTACATTTAACAGAAATGATCTTTAATGTTTAACTTGCAAGGTATTCTGGATGGTGGGAGAAGTAAGTGTAGCCCCATGTATTTTATAACACAGGCAGGGCAATATTTCAAATGGTGTTTTTGTTTTTTTTTAAGTTTCTCACGAATCTCATTGCTTGTAATTTATATTTATCTGCTGAAGTTTTTTTCATTTGTTTTACTACTTTGTTTAATGGAATTAAGCTATTCCCAAGCAATGAGATTAGTTTTGGAAAGCTTGCCTTTTAAACTGAAAAGGACTAATACAGGAGTGAAAAAATATAAGAATGTTTGGGGCAGACAAATCTGTGTTTGGCTGAATATTAAGAGTACAATATAGGCATGTGATTCTGCTTGCTTTTTTTCCCGTCATTAATTATTCACTTTATTACTTTAAAAGATGTTTTGGCAGCAGTGATGCTAAGTGATAACCATATTTCTCCTCAAATTTACCAGAATTCGAGAATCTGATTATAACCAGAATTAAGTTTGGCCTCTATATAGCAGGCTGACGTGATATGTATTGCGATGCTCTGAAACATGCATTTCTTCTTAGGAGGCTTTTAAAAAGATTATTTATTTATGTAATTATTTTGTGTAGCTACCCATCTCGCAATGGTAAGCACCTTCATCTCAGTTGAATCCTAAGCTACAAATATTCTTTTCTATCAATAAGCACCTTCTTATGTTGTCTCCCAGGCACCAGATCTGCTGTAACAACCCGAGAGACACATATTTTTATAAAGTGGACTTTTAAGGTTTCCCTTCTCTTGAAAAGCATCAATGCAAACCAAGTATTTCAAAACTAAATAAAGAACCAAAGCATTTATTCAAGTCACAGCATTTTATCATTGCCTTCCTATTTCATTCACTGTATCTTAAGCTTCAGTTCAGTGGCCCCCAACATTTTTTGCACCATGGCCTAGTTTCAGGAAAAACAATTTTTCCATGGATCAGTGGTGGCGGCGGGGGGAGGGAAGAATGATTTTGCGCACTATCTAGATCCCACACATGTGCAGACAAAATTCGCTTGCTTGCGTGGCCCAGTTCCTAACAGGCCACAAAACAGTACTAGACCATGGACCAGTATCAGGCCACGGTTAGGAGTTGGGGCCTCCTGCCTTAGTTC